TGTTAATAATAGTGAGCCAAAATATCAATTCGATATACCTGTGAGAATACTTCACATTTAATCCCAAAAAGATACATTTTATCCATTTAATAAGTGGAATAACGATGAAAAATTACTACAATAAATTCAAGTGTTATTATCACCACTTCCTGGTAAACTAATAGTTATAGCTTTTCATTCAGAAATTGAAATAAAAATTTAGCACTAAAACACAACATTCCTGGTTTCACTGCTCTACCCTCACTCTGAATAAATCAAAATTTTTTATAGCAGTTTCCCAAACAAAATGCTATTTTGTCATTTTGTTATCTCGACAATACACACGTATTTTGATGCAATTAAATTTTCAGCGATTTCTCGGTAGTCGATGTCCTAATTCTCATTTCGTATGGCTGAACACGCTGAAATTCGATTTACAAATTTCATATATGATTGATATTAAAAAAAAGTTGTCATGTCGTATCACGGCAACAATATAGTATGCAGTGATATTTTCCAGTTGATATTTGAGTTTTTATAATTGTTATAAACATTATTGTATAGTTCAAGTAAACGATACAGTGCAACCTATCTTCCAACAGCTCCTTGAAGACAAAATGGGAAAACCCAAGAAAAGTACTTAATGAAAATAACTGCGTAAACGCAAGCGAGACATAAGTGGAACCACCGCCTGCGTTTACGCAGTTATTTTCATCAAGTACTTTTTTTGGTTTTGACGGTACTGACGATGTCCAATAGGCTGAAACAGCTGTCTACCAGTGGCTCTTAAATTGAAATCAATATGGGAGTGATCAAAATAGTACTTATCTATTTATATTTTGATTTTCAGGGAATTACTTTCCAGCAGCTTGACTGCTTTTACCATTATCGATTTCATATCATTTCTAGAAACATGTGGATTCGTTTTTCGATGAAATTCCAGGTTATCTTCCCAAATTTCTGCTACCGCAGTTGTCGGTTGATTGGTCAAACCACCAACACTCACATAAAAACTTGGCAAGTTGACTTGGGTGTCACACCAATAGGTGGTGTTCCACTTATGTCTCGCTTGCGTTTACGCAGTTATTTTCATTAAGTACGTTTCTTGGTTTTTCCCATTTTCTCTTCAATCGAGGACCGCCTGCCCAGTACTGACGATGCCCAATATGCTGAAACAGCTGTCCACCGGTGGCTCTTAAATTGAAATCAAAATAGCGACTGGAGAAATGTACGGTAAAATAGATTAACAGGGTATCTCAGTCAAAAAATCAAACTCTGCTTTACTTTGCCAAGCTTTCGCTTCAAATGGGAAGCTTCTTCAGGGCCTATAATTTAATGAGTTGTGAATAGTTTTGCCATTGAATAACATTACAAATCATACTTACAGTAAAAATGAGCGAAAAACAATAAATTGAACATATAAATTGACGAATAAATTGACAAATATCATACCTTCACATAAATGTCATTTTTCATGGGTATGATGATTTCATAATTTTTGACTCTAAAGAAAGAGTTATTGATTAATACAATTTTCATTATTATTATGTTTTTGATGTAGTTCCAGTAAGTTACTGTATATACTGCTGAGATTATCAACGTCGGTTTTCTTATTCATACAATCAGAATACTTATTAATTTCAACCATTTCAAGAAAAAGGCGTTTGGAAATATTTTTTTCTGTATGTAAAACTTTGATATTGGAGTAATTTGGTTTATGTCCTGTTTCTATAGAGTGTTCTGCTAATGCACATGACTTCTTATTAAGCTTTATATCACTTTTATGTGAAGTTACTCTATCATTAAGAATTCTAGATGTTCCAATATAATTCAAGTTACAATTGTTACAAGGAATGTTATAAATCACATTTGACTTTTTTGTTGTATTCGTTTCATCTTTCAATTTACTATTCAAATTCTTTATAGTTTTAATATATTTTTGGCATATTTTGATATTTTGTTCATTGTGAAAAAGTTTTATGATATTTGAAGATAAATTTCCAAGGTTAGATTTATAAGAAATATTGATAGGTGAATTATCATTACATACATTTCTGTTAATTACATCGGAATTTGTATTACTGCCAGAATTGAAAATTATTTTATTACGAAGTTTTCTGGAATAAGAATTTTCGATCAATATGTCTCTAAGAAGTCTGAGATTTTTTTGCTGGAGGGAAGGGTGTACTAATTTTTCTATAATTTTTTTCAAACAGAGTATTAAATTAATTTCAACAGATTTTTTATGAAAGGAATAGTAATTGATATATCTTCCTGAATTAGTAGGTTTGACATACCAATCTGTAATCAAAGAATTACCAGTTTTACGGATAACTCTTGTATCAAGAAAAGGAAGGGTCGATAGTGAATTGTAACTTTTTATCATATCTATTAACAACATCAAGAATTTCATTAGATTTGTCATAAGATATTGCACAGATGACATCGTCAACATATTTCTTTAAAAAAGGAATTTCAAAACTCAATTTAGGAAGTATGTTTTCAAAAAGATCGTCCATTACGTATTGAGCTATAATAGGAGAAATAGTTTAATCCTTAGCTCGCACAAGTTTCGACTTCTGAGAGTTGTCGTTCGTAGGGGTGCGACAGCTGGTTAACGGAAAAACAGATTTCAAACAGATTTGGAAATTCACAATCCACCACAACAGTAAAAATACAGCTGACATTTCTATCTTGACAACCCTTCCACTTCCAGGTTGTTTTCAAGTTTTCCAAATCATCATTTTTTAAACAGTGAATTGTGAATCTTAAATTTTTAATATTTACCATACAGTTGACAGATCTAAAATGTCTACAACAAAGCAGATTGGTTTATTGCATTATTTTTATGCAGGGCAAGGGATTGTTAACTAACCCTCTTCAAGTTATTTAGTTTTGCATTATTCTCAAGGGTCTCCCAATCTTGGTCTTCTAATGTATGGGTCTTTTCTAATCCACTTATCCTCATGAAATTTAATACCCCTGAATATCTTTACCTAAGCAACCTGTATATTTAGGCATATTTCCATGTACAAATAATTAAATTTTCAATTCCTTTATTGTTCTTTGTACCCATTGTCTTTGGACTTACCAGCTATTATGACGTTTTCCTACCTATGTTAATTCGAATTTCTTTTCTCTAATGACCAAGCTGACCCCTTAGCTAACTTTAGGTGAAATATTATATTTGTAAAATTATACCCATTAAATATCATTATTAACAAAAAAAATTCACTTACCTTCTAGACACTTAAATAAACGAATACCCATTGGAAAAAATTTTTTCCCGTGATTATTTTATGAGATATACTTTAGTTAATCAACCAATTTTTACAAATTTTAAATTTACATAAAAACCCTGCTAATTTNTAGAGGGAACATGAAGATTTACTTGGGCAAGAAGAGTTGAGCAATTAATTCTAAAATTAAGCAATTTATGAAGGAATATAATATCTATATGTTCTCTGCGTAAACTAAGTTTCGGTAAACCAGTTACAGACCGAATTTCTGAAAAAGAGTGATCACTGAGAGGTATAGACAACTTAAAGGCAATATATTTTATAAATTTGTTTTGTACTTTTTCTATAGTGTACTTATGAATTTCATAAGTTGGTGACCAAACACAGCTACAATATTCTGTAATCGATCTAACCAAAGCGAAATACAATAACTTGATAGAATTAATGTTGGTGAAGTCTTTTGTAGTCCTGCATACAAAGCCTAACATTTTCATTGCTTTGCTAGAGATCTGTTCATACTGCAGGTGAAAATCCATTTTGACATCCACCACTACACCAAGATCTCGTATGGATTTCACCGATTCTAATAGTTTGCCTGCTATAGTATACATATTGTTGTAATGAGTAAGTGATCTAGAAAAAGACATACTTTTGCATTTAGACACATTCACGTCCATATCATTGTCTACACACCATTCAGTAAAAGATGTAATGTCATTCTGAATATGTTCGTAGTCAACTGTGGATACAATGGTTTTGAATATTTTCAAGTCATCAGCAAACATTAATACTTCAGAATGACTAATTTTGGTTTTGATATCGTTGACAAAGATATTAAATAGGAATGGCCCTAAATGGCTTCCTTGTGGAACTCCTGAGCTAACCGAGATTTGTTGAGATGTAAATCCTTTAATTTTTACAACTTGTGTTCTGTTACATAGATAATTTGTGAGCCATTTCAATAAATTCCCAAAGAAACCGATTGCCTCCAATTTTGCACCGAGAATCCTGTGATTAACTGTGTCAAATGCTTTGGAAAAATCTGTGTATATCACATCCACTTGCTGTTTTTTCTCCAAAGCATTTAAGATATACTGAGAGTAGAGCAACAAATTAGTATTGGTCGATTTGCCCTGGCAAAAACCATGTTGCTCATCAATTATAACCTGATTCAGAGGGGTCTTTATATTATCGCATATGATGCTTTCCATCAATTTAGGTATAGCACTCAATATGCTAATGGGGCGAAAATTTTTTATGTTTGCTCTGTCTCCAGACTTATATATAGGCGTTATGTAACTCGATTTCCATACAAGAGGGACCTTACCTAGACTGAGTGAAGCTGTAAAAAGCAAAAATAGTGGTTTTGTCAGAGTAAATCTACAATTTTTCAATAACATTGTTGTAATACCGTCAGGTCCTGGACCTTTATATGGATCCAATTGATCCAGTTGATCAACTCTATAGAATGTAGAGAAAACCAAAGTACCAGGGGTTTAGGATTTTGTCCCAGCTCTATCTGATGGTGACCTAGGATATGACATCAACCATAACCTTGCAAATGATATGAACGTCAAGATCAGTTTATTGAATTTTAAATTTTTATGAGTAGGTTTGAAAAATAACCTTGACCTTTGAATAATTTGCAAGGTCATGATCATGGTCAAATCCGGGGTAAATCCATTGAACGATCCTCAGAGGCCAACTTATGTATCATTCAAGGTTATGTTCGGTCGTATTCAAATAATTAATATGCAAGTTCAAGGTCGTTTTAGGTTTCCGACCATAGAAGCCCGGTCACTGGTTTTCTTCCCCACATTCTGCAGTAATTGAGAGAACACTGTATACCTGTTTGTCCAAAGAGTGGAACATCCGCATTGCCGACAATCCACCGGTTTCCTTCTTCTGGGAAGCGTCCAACTTAGCGACAAAAGCTAACTGTCCGTTTTCATTGTACTTGTACAAAATCGGGATGCAGCTGTGACCGGCAGCAACTACGGACTTGTTGCTTATCCAAGAACAGCTGAGGAACGGCAGAAATTCCGTCCTGAGCTTGAAAACTGCATTGCCCCTGGTCGCATCAGCAACATTCACCGACGAGTCGTGAGAAACCTATAATGAAAAACACGGACTTGTTAGCATTGTTTTTTTTAAAGCCAATAATGAATCAGAAATGCTTTTTTAGCAAAACGAATAATTCATGTCTGCAAAGCGTACATAAACCTAGAAAAATAGATTGACGCGGTATCAAACAGTTATAAGGCATTATCACTATGCTTCTTACATTATTAGGACCGAAAACATGCAGACAAAGTCCCTCAAACGATTACCTATCAAAGTGGACAATATATTTAGCAGGGAACAGATTACCAGTTGATAGAGAAAAGATTCGAATTTGAAAGCTTGGAGCTTTGAAGACGCTTAGCTAAGTCAAGACAGCCAATAAAATCATGACCCCATAAATGGAGTCATGACCCCATGAATGGGGTCATGATTTTATTGGCTGTCTTGACTTACTGAGAATTGCAAGGTACTGCAACTCGCAGGCAGAAACAATTCAACTTTTTATAATTCCGGACCAAGAACTAATGTCCATACAAAATCACCAATGAACACCACGTGTGATAGTTTTAACAAAATTTGTAACTCTTGTGATTTATTCTCGGATAGCTTGAAGCAAATTAAGCATGTAATGCGAAATCTGTAATATTTTACTTACTTTTCTTCCACTGTACTTTATTTTTTTATTTATTTATTCAGTAGGCAAGCCTCATATACAAAAAAATACAAATTCATAAATATTTTACATTATTAAACTATGTAAATATAATGAACATTTGAAAGTACAATGAAAGAAAAACAATATACATACATATCTATATATTGTTAGGTTAGATCACATTAAACAAATACCAAAAAAAAAAAAAACAAATATCATAATAAGCTGTCACTAAAATACTTGTTTGATGATGACCTAAATTGGTTAATTGAATTACATTCTTTTACAAATTGTGGTAGTTTATTAAATTCGTTTAAGCCTTTATGAAATATACTATTCATTCCAAATTTAGTGTTAGTTTTATTAATGCAAAAATTGTTATTAAACTGAAAAACCTGCTATTAAAGAACATCGAACTAAAAAGTCAATTTTTATTATTATTATTTTTTGTATATCAAGCGCCCGTCGCTATTTTCACAGTAGTACTAGTATTTTTCGTTCGTTATTGTCTTAAACTTAATAAAAAAATATATAGTTTCAACTTTTTAGTTCGATATTCTTTAAAAGCGTGTTTTATTATACCATATTCATTTTTTTTTCTAACAGACATCGTACAACTCTAAAAAGTATTTTGAGTTTCCATTGAAAATTCAAAATAAATACTATATTTTTCACTTTTCAACAGATTCAATTACATACGGCTCTGGAACAGCTACTTGAAAATGACTCATTACTTTGCTGCTTGAAAAAATGGGCTCTAATGGAATGTAGTTTTTTCTTCTGATTAGTATGATCTACGTTTTTGTTGATAAACTCATTTTTTAAATATTTCTTTCGATGCCTCCCACTTTATATTAATAATAAAAAGTAGGAAGTCAAAAAGTTTTTCATATCAAAACCAAATTGAGTGAAATAATTCATTTGTGGCGAAGAAATGTCTCAATCCCCTCTGAAATAAACTACAGTTTAGAACAGTAACGTCAATTTATTATCATAAATAAATATAAAAAATTCAACTAACTATATACACTTCCCACAACATTTATCCATCCCATCTGCATCTGGCTTGTGGTTGGGAGTCCACGGCCCCAAACTGGCATTGGCATAGAAGTCCATCGGATAGTTGGAACTCTTCTCGTGCCATTTGGCATCACCCAACACAATCGCACCTTCGTAAGGAGTTATAAACGGTTTGGAAAAAGCATTTCCCCAATCGATCGACAGTCTCGGACAAGCAATCTGTACAAACGCATCGATTCCCGTGAACAAGTCCAGTTTGCTGGGAAATATCTCCGACAGCAAGATTACAGCAACCTTTCTCCCGCTTTCTTCCAATCGCTTCCGTAAATGTTCGACTACGTTGGGGTTTCCCTGTCTCCCGAGGGTCCCCATTACGACCCCGAAAGTCCCAGCAGACTTGGCTTGTTCTATCTTCTCCTGCCTGATTCTCTCCATCTCCTCGTGGTCGTAGGACTCTTTCGTGAATTTTTTTGAGTAGGGATCGTACTTGTAGGCCTTCCTTCTAGGATTCGCGATCATAGCTGCCTCGAGGTGGAACTGTCCGTCGCCCAGGTAGATGAGGACACCGTCGCATTTCAGCACGGGGGCTGTACACCCCAGAATCTCCCCTGGTGAGAGAGGTTTGAATTGCGGGACAGATATGTCGTACCTGTAAAGATACGGTATTAACCTGAGTTTTTTAAACTTGTTAATAATAATAAAGGTGAATTTTCTGTGTGTCATTTTTACATGCATAGAAATAGACAGTACAGAAAGAGGAATAAATAAAATAACCTGTTGTGAATTCACCCAGCTCATAAAATAATATTATAGCTTGATTTCGAGGCCACTTGAGCATAGTGAAATGTTGACAGCTGTCCTTCATTAAGTGCTTGTCTCTGATGACAAAGCTTATGAGGGAATTCAACTGCTGATATCAAATAGCTAGTGTGTTTTTCAGCTCAAACAGTAATGACTCATTGATTTCAAAAAAATTATTTCCAACTAGGTACACTTTTTTTAGAAATAATAAAATATAACGTACCCCATTTCTCTCAGACTTGCAGCTGCGGCTTGGAGGGTTGTTACGAACTGTATGGTGCTCACCAGCGCTATTTTCTCGGAAGTGTTGAAATTTACCTTGACGGTGTCTATGAAATGCAAGGGATCAATTTTGATGTCGACGAACACGTACAGGACTTTGACACCACCAGTTTGGTCTGCAGGCACTAAGCAGCTGTGCCCGTAATGGACCAACAACTCCACCCCTAGCGCCTTTGCTGTTATATCATCGATGCAGCAGGCCCCATATGTAACGTCTCCCATTATGACAGAATCAGCTCCCGAGAATTCTTTGATGATATCCGCTATCGTCGTGGAGAAAAGAAGCAAGCCTTCGGGCATTTGCAGCGCTACGGTCTTCGCCTTGAGTTCCTGGATACGCCATATCGTTTTGGGAATTTCGAAGTTGTAGTTTTTTGGCAAGGCAGAGATCGCTGCTTGAAGTTTGGTGTTGTTCAGCAAAGATTCCGGGATTTTCGTCACCTTCGTAGCTTTGAAGACTTTTCTCTGTGGCTTGGCTTTGATCACGACCGCTGAATCAGTCATTGCGTACACAAAAACGCCCCTACTTGGGGGCTAGTACTAGATTGAGGTTGGAACTTTTAGTTTTGAGGTTAGAAAGCTTGCGAGTGTACGTGAGTAGTTCGTTCGTACCATGGCTACTGAGTAGTGCATATGTTCTACATTCCTGAGTAGTTCGTTTGTACCACGATTAAAGTTTGTTCGTTGGGCTTATAGGTCTTTCTTTTCAGATCTTTAGTGTTATCATTTTCGTTTCGAGTAAATCTGCTGTATAAACTGTACTATTATGGATTGCAAAAAATATCTGTTTAAAGCTATAACAAAACAAAAAATTGTCAAAGTGACATAAACATTGTAAGCTTGAACAATTAGTGAATACCCTCTGTAACGATTTACTGCACGACATGACTACAGACTAGACTTTAGTAGATTCAAGTGTATTTATTGTTTGCTATCCACATTTTATGTATTACTGTTATTGGTAAATCCGTAAATAAATAATAACCATTTCAAAATATGTTGTAAGATTAACATTGCAGTAGTAGGGGGTTTATAATAGATTAAATTAATAGTTGATGAAATAATCAAGGCTTAATATATTGAAATATAGGAGTACAGTAAAAAGGAGTAAGTAAATTACTGAAAAATATTTTGAATTCAAATTTTTACCAAATTAATAAAAAAAACAATGAAGTACACTAAAAAAATTCGTCAAAATGTAAGTAGGTATTTATAATGCATAGAACATAAAAATCCACTCAAGATTCTTAAACCACACAATTAATCACAATAACCACACAATTATTCAGAAGTTTGATTTTTTCTTTTAAAGATATCAGAAGTGGTGTGTTATTAGTCAACGAACATTGTCAATTCAAAGTCGATCAAAACGGTGGATAATCATGAATGTTTCTTGTGAATTCCACATCGCAGAGTCCTTGAGGTACTCTTTTTTAGAAAGCAACATTGATTTCTTCTTTGAAATTATCTAAGAGTTCTCTCTTGGCTTATACTGAAAAGAAGCGTAGTTCATTTCTTAAGAGCTTTAATCAATTGAAATATACTTTTCATAAACGCAAATGTTACAAGACAAAAAAAACTATTCGATTTTCATGTTCTGGATGGACCTCTCTAGAGAATTCAAATCCCATATGACCAGTTGACCGTCTGCTCCAGAAGTTGACAGTTTCAGCGCTTTTTCTTTGGTTCCAGAATAAATACACAAGCAAGTGATGGCGTTCTGATGAATGGAATCCAAACTAGTATCCGACGTTTCTGATCTTGCCTAAAAAAAAAAGTCAAAGCAATACATTAGATTGGACAAATGTCCTCCACGATATTGGAGGGAAAAGATTTGTCAACTGTTAGTTATTCCTGGTGCTCCGAAAGTTCCCATACAGCTCGATTGCTTGATAGATATATAGATAATTTATTGGTGTTTTATACATTCAACAGTGTTTACACAAGTCAATACATACATAATTATGAAATTAGCATATGCCAGGCATCATAGATTATTTTTTATCTATATTAAATTTCCCATGATATAGAGAGAAGGAAAGGTTAGTATTTTCAACGTAAAGAATGAATTTTGACATTCACCTCTGTAGTCGATATTGTGTAAAATTCTAATAGATTTTCGTTGTTGTCAGAATATTCTATCACAGTCTGTGGTAAGTCCCCAGGCGACAATACTATAAAAAATAATGGATTTATACAAGGAAAAACATGCTGTTTGAAGCGCTGCTTTTGAAACTTGTCTGGAGACGTTTCTTAGTAAAAATAGATTTCTCGTAAGTTATTTTGATATCCCATTTATGTGATGATCCCATTTTAATTCGCTGTCAATATGAATTTCCAGAAATTTCGCACTACTTTGCGAGTTTGAATAATTTTCCATATTTCTTAGGGTGGATACCATGTTTTGGGTTTTCTTTTTATTCAGATTCAATTCGTTGGCATTAAACCACCTTCCAGTTTGTGACTGTGCTTCAGAGGATAATGTAAGTACCTCTTCTAGAGTTTTAGCATTTGTTTGGATTGTAGTATCGTCTACATATAAAATATATGATATCACTTTCTCTCGTTATGGTAGATCATTAATGAAAATGATGAACAATAGAGGCCCCAAAATAGATCCTTGCGGTAAACCAGTTGTGTTTTTTTTTCTCTTGTTGATAGACTATTACCCACTTTTACAGTCTGAAATCGAATTTTTGAGCATGAGTTTATTTATTTATTCACGGGTAACTCCCATTTAATGTAAGTTATACAAATATCAGATTGTTAATACAAATCTTATCTAATTTAATTATAAGTAATAACAATTTAAACAGTTATAGTAGAGAATTGAAATGAAGCGAGAATAAAAGTAAATGACAGATACTAGCAATTTAAGAATAAGTATATCTTAACTTATTTCTAAGAATATTCTCGGAAATATGAAAGAGATCGAATTTTGTATTATTCCCGTTTATGACTATTCTTGATAAAGGAGAATGCATTCCATAGTTACACCTATGGTAATCTATTGCAAAGGTTAGATTATTTCGTGTTTTTCTAGAGGGAACATGAAGATTTACTTGGGCAAGAAGAGTTGAGCAATTAATTCTAAAATTAAGCAATTTATGAAGGAATATAATATCTATATGTTCTCTGCGTAAACTAAGTTTCGGTAAACCAGTTACAGACCGAATTTCTGAAAAAGAGTGATCACTGAGAGGTATAGACAACTTAAAGGCAATATATTTTATAAATTTGTTTTGTACTTTTTCTATAGTGTACTTATGAATTTCATAAGTTGGTGACCAAACACAGCTACAATATTCTGTAATCGATCTAACCAAAGCGAAATACAATAACTTGATAGAATTAATGTTGGTGAA